GCCTTGGAGGAAGAACCCGAGCAGCCGGAGGAGGCGGCCGCGGCCGCGGCGAGGCCGAGAGAGGGTGGAGGAGGAGGGAGGTGGGGAGGAGCGGGAGGCGGTTTCGCTGGTCGGGCACGGTGGCGCCGGGGCGGGGTTGTTGGGCTGTGCGAGGAACTGTTGCGCCCGTGCCTGCCGAATGCTACGCTATTTGGGTTTGGACTTTGGACCCCTTGACGGCGCTAACCCTCCTCCTTCTAGAAAGATCACGAGTCCGTGAATGGGTGTGCCAGCGGGCCAGGCCCGCTGGGCAAGTTCCGGAGACCCATGTCCAACTTGATCTCCAAAAGAAAAAAAGAGCCAACTTTTCTCAAATTAAGTAAATTATAATGAGCCAATTGTCTGACAAAAAAAATGAGCCACTTTCTTACACTAGAAAAATTAATGAGAAAAATATTTCTTGAGAGATTTAGCAAGTGAATATTTTTTCTTCTTGTTGTTGAATAAACGCAACCGACATCACACTATAAACGCAACCGATATCACACCATAAAATTGCCCCACATAGATTTAGGCGTCAGAGATCAACTCATGAATAGCGGTGGGGATATGTCCAAGACATCAGAAATTGGTGGTGGAGGTGCAGTTCCGAGGGACCACAATGGAAGCTTCATAGCAGGAGTCTGCCATCTTTTTCCTTCGGTTGCCGATCCTAAGCTAGCGAAACTGCTCGCCTGTCGTCGTGCAATCAGATGCCATGGAAATCAATGTGTCACGCTCAATATGCGATACTATCCTAAAGAGATTCGAAGGTCCCACCAAGGATAGAACCGCATATTGATACGCTTTTGCAAGGTGGATATCATTACATCAACATTACATAATAGATGGGGATACATACAAAAGGCATACAATGCCACACGAATACAACATCATCTTACATAAGAGCACCATCCGACTATGGATGAAACACAAACAGAAACTCAAACGACATCCACCCTGCTAGCCCAGGCTGCCGACCTGGAACCTATCCCCTGATCGAAGAAGAAGCAGAAGAAGAACTCCAAGACAAGCAAACATCGCTCTCGTGTCAAGATCATCGCATAACCTGTACCTGCAACTGTTGTTGTAGTAATCTGTGAGCCACGAGGATTCAGCAATCCAATTACCATGGGTATTAAGACTAGCAAAGCTTAATGGGAAAGGAAGGGGTAAAATGGTGAGGTTGCAGCAGCGACTAAGCATATTTGGTGGCTAACATACGCAAATAAGAGTGAGAAGAGAAGCAACGAAACGGTCGTGAAGCTAGCAATGATCAAGAGGTGATCCTGAACTCCTACTTACGTCAAACATAACCTAAAACCGTGTTCACTTCCCGGACTCCGTCGAAAAGAGACCATCACGGCTACACACGCGGTTGATGCATTTTAATTCGAATCTGGTGTCAAGTTATCTACAACCGGATATTAACAAATTCTCATCTGCCACATAACCGCGGGCAAGGCTCTCGAAAGTTTATAACCCTGCAGGGGTGTCCCAACTTAGCCCATGATAAGCTCTCGCGATCAACGAAGGATATTCCTTCTCCCAGGGAGACCCGATCAGTCTTGGAATCCCGATTTACAAGACATTTCGACAATGGTAAAACAAGACCAGCAAAGCCGCCCGATGTGCCGACAAATCCCGATAGGAGTCGCACGTATCTCGTTCTCAGGGTACACCGGATGAGCCAGACGTCGGGTAGGCATAGACCCTGGTTGCCCAGGGGGCGTCGGACATCGCTCGGTTTGGACCAGC